ACAGAATGAACGGGCGTAGCGGCTTGCTATACCCCCTTTTTGTGCTGGGTTGTTCTTGTTCACGCCTTCTCCACATAGTACTTTGTGACTGTCCAACCGTTTTGATGTGTGGTGGGTGAGGGGGGGCAGGTGTACGACGTGCGTGAAGCAGTGGGTAGTGAACCTCTTCCGCTCCGCTTGATTTGACTTTCTCCTGTGCTGTTTTTGGGATATTTTGCTTAACTCTTCGTACCTGGTCCAAGCATGTCGTGTGGGTGCGCAGCCTGGGCGGCTATCGCTTGAATCGTACGTACGAGGTGTCGTCTGATTGGTGTAACCCCACCCCATTGCGAATCCTTTGGTGGTTAGATGTACTTTACACTTTGGTGGCTTCAGTTCCACGTTTGCTGCCCCTTTGTCGATTCAAAGCGGTTCCAACCGTGACCTCTAACGACGAAAGTATAACGTATTCCTCGTGACCAAAGAAATATAGTGCGATGTAGAGGAAATCGGTTGTTTAATTAAGGGAAACTATCCAAAGCAGACTGAAATAATAAAAAAAAAAAAGGGAAGGAAAAATCACCAGTACATTCGTGTAATACAGTTAGTGATACGAGGGCGGCACGTCGTGCCTCCCATGAACCCCTCATCATGTGCGAGGGCTGAAGCAGACCTAGCACGCACGAAGTTCGTAGTCATATGCAACGACGGCCGAAGANCACCAGTACATTCGTGTCATACAGTTAGTGATACGAGGGCGGCACGTCGTGCCTCCCATGAACCCCTCATCATGTGCGAGGGCTGAAGCAGACCTAGCACGCACGAAGTTCGTAGTCATATGCAACAACGGCCGAAGATTAAGCACGCGACGACACATAAAAAGATTTAAGTACGAAGAATGCTGGTTCTGTTCATGCCGCACACCCGACCCATCTCCCTCCCTTGCGTTGATCTCCTGCTCCTGGCGCCGACAGTTCCTCGGAGCACCTCATATGCGTCGTTATCTAACCTCAACACGGCACCCCTACTTCATACCAAATAGCGCGAGCGTGTGACTACCCCGTCCCAAAGTCGATTCCTACTTCGAGTACGTCCGACTTAGCCCTCTCCCTGTAGGTATTCCTCGAGGAACGGGGGTTGGAGGTCAAAGTACTGTGCCGTCGAATTTGGGTAGAAGCAGCAATGGCAATTGGTGAGAATGCCGGCGACAGAATACTGCTTGCCGAGGCCACACGCGCTTAGACCGACCTGCTGCTTCTTGTGGTAGTCTACGTAGGGCCACTGGGCGACGACTCGACCGAACCCCCATTCCACCGGAACCCTAACACTGCTCATGGCGGAATTGAAGCCAGCTTCCTCAGGGGTCAACAAACCCCGATATGGCGACATCAACCACGGCGAGTTCTGGTACGCCGGATCACCGTACAGGTAGTACGGCTCTCCCTGCGCATTATTGAACGATTGCATCAACACAGCAAGCAGGTCGCTCTCCCCTAGTAGCGCTACATCGTGGCGGCGACCGAGGGCAGGACCCCAAAGCTGGCGAATGATACCGTCCGGAGAATCTACTGCCTGATACTTGAGGGCATGGAGACGTTTCCATCCATTATAGTACATACGTTGCCAACGACCAGGACGGCAGATTTTCCGAATTGTGCCATCGAGGAAGCCCCAACAGCGTGGAAGGGGCGAGCCGCGGCTAGATATTGCTTCACAGAGATCGCTTATCTTAGGAAGAATAGCATCGACCTGCAAATCCCGCACAAGGTGTCCCCATCGATCGTATATTGCCTCAATGTTGACATTGAACACCTCGCATTCGAGTGTCTCCCCCATGCCCCAGAACAGGCGATCGCGTAGCAACGTCGT